TTTCAGCAAGCAAAGTTGTATCATCTGCATAGCACAGGTTGTTAATGACTCTTCCTCTAATCCTGATGCCATGTTTTTCTTCATATAATCCACCTTCTCGGATTATTTGCTTAGCATACAGATTGAGAAAGTATGGTGAAAGAATATAACCTTGTTGCACACCTTTTCAAATTTCAAAACAATCAGTGTTCCCATGTACTGTTCAAACAACTGCTTGTTGGTCCAGGTACAGATTCCTCATGAACACAATTAAGTGTTCCAGAATACTCATACTTTGCAATGTTGTCCAAAGCTTGTTGTGATCCACACATTCGAAAGCCTCTGCGTAGTCAATAAAGCGTAGGTAAACATCTTTCTGGTATTCTCTGCTTTCAGACAAGATCCATCGGACATCAGCAATGATATCCCTTGTTCCATGGCCTCTTCTGAATCCGGCTTGAACCTCTGGAAGTTCTCTGTCAATGTATGATTTTAGCCGTTTCTGTATTATCTTTAGCAAAATTTTACTCACATGGGATATCAAAGAGATTGTCCGATGATTTCCGCATTCTGTTGGGTCACCTCTCTTTGGAATGGGCACAAATATGGACCTCTTCCAATCAGACGACCAGATAGTTATTGTCCAAATTTCTTGGCAGAGATGAGTGCATCCTGTGCCGCCTCACTTTCTGGGTAGATTTCAATTTTTATTCCATCAATTCCCGGTGCCTTGTTCTTTGCCAATTCCTTCAATGCACCTTGGACTTCCTCCTTCAGTATCATTGGCTCTTGATCATATGCTACCTCTTGAAACGGTTGAAAATTAATCATTTCCTTTTGGTACAGTGACTGTGTATTCCTTCCCATCTTCTCTTGATGCTTTCTGCATCATTCAATAGTTTGCCCAGTGGATCTTTCAAAAACGAAAGTCGAAGCTTGAATTTTTTATTCGGTTCCCCTAGCTTGAGAAATGCTGAGTGTGTTCTCTTCTTTTGTTTTTCTGATTCCAGATTTTTGCATATTTTGTTGTAATATTTGGCTTTATCTTCTCAAGCTGATCTTTGAAATTTTCTGTTTAGCTCTTGGACCTCCTCATGTCTTCCATTTGCTTTAGCATCTGTACAATGGAGAGCAAGTTTCAGTATCTCTTCTGACATCCATTTTGATCTTTTCCTTCTTTCTTGTCTTCTCAAATGACCTTTTGCTTTCTTCATATATGATGTTCTTGATGTCATCCCATCACTCTTCTATAGTCTTTGGTCTTTAGTGTATAATGTATCAAATCTGTTCTTCAGATGATCTCTAAATTCAGGTGGGATATATTCAAGGTCATATTTTGGCTCTCGTGGAC